CCCAGCCACTCGTTGAAAAACATAAAAGACGTCTATAGACGTCTATTGCAGCCAATGAGTTAAGCACTTTGTAGGCTAGCATTAGCACTTTGTAGGCTAGCATTAGCACTTTGTAGGCTAGCATCAGGGACTTGGATTTGACTCGGGCAGCCAGAGGTAACCAGTGGAGTTCAATCAGAATCAGAATCAGGATCAAAATTAGCTTTATTGCCAAGTCGGTTTTTCACCTACAAGGAATTTGATTTGGTGTTAGGTGCACAACACTTCGATGAGAAACAAGAAACAACATACAATGTAGAAATAAAAATATTGAATAAAATAATTTAAAAAATAATAATAATAAATAATAAAATAAAATATTGAATGTCCAACGACAAACCAGAAAATGTTGAACATAGAATTGGGTAAATTAGTGGGGTAGACGGGGGTGAGAGAAGAACAGTTGGGGGTCGCTGGCCTCATTGATGAGGCCAGTTGCTGCTGGATAAAAACTGTCTTTATGGCGTGAGGTTTTAGTCCTGATGGTTCTCAACCTTCTGCCAGAGGGGAGGGTTTCCAAAAGTTTGTGACCAGGGTGAGAAGGATAGGAGAAGGAGAACAGAGGGGTGACGTGAGATTTCTTTGCTTCCCCAGCTCCCTCCATTTCCTGCAGGTGGATAACCGGCCGTGCTCGCTGGCGCCCTCCACCTGCTTCCCCTACGCCACCGAGGCGGCTAGCTTCCTGCGCGCCGCCATCCGGCTGCAGCCGCCCGCGTTCCCCGTCCTGCCCGAGCTGACCGCCGTCATCGGGCTGAGGGGCCTCCGCGAGGAGATCGGGACCAGGGAGGAGGAGGAGGAAGACCAAGGTGGGACATGGTTTCCTGATGATCCGTTAACGCACACACACATGGATATAGACACACACAGACACACACAGAGACACAGACAAAGAGACACAGACACATACACACACAGACAGACACAGAGATAGGGACCAGGGAGGAGGAGGAGGAAGACCAAGGTGGGACATGGTTTCCTGGTGATGGACACACAAACGCACACAGAAACACACAGATATAGACACACACAGAAACACACAGACACACACACACACAGATACACAAAGACACACACACAGACACACACACAGACAGACACAGAGATAGGGAGCCGGGAGGAGGAAGAGGAAGACCAAGGTGGGATATGGTTTCCTGATGATGGACACACAAACGCACACAGAAACCCACAGATATATACACACAGATATAGACACAGAGACACACACACACATGCACACAGACACAGACAGAGACACACACACACACACAGATACAGACACAGACACACAGACACAGACAAATGCACACATACAGACATACAGACAAATGCACACATACAGACACACAGACACACACACACACACACACACACACACACACACACACACAGAGACACACACACAGACATACACACACAGACACACACACAAAAACACACACACACACACACTCGTCCAGCTTTGAGCTTCATCCAAGCTCAACATCCAGCAGGTTTCTGACACCTTTCACCTCATAAAAAGGGGGATTTCCTTTTCCCTTAAGGTGTCACAACATATAACCACTCCAACTGGCGTTTGCTAGCATTTACTAGCATATCTTCTGCTAGCAAACACCCTGAAAACTGTTTACAACAATATAGGTTGGCTAATAAACATTTATGACCAAAATAAAGTTATTATACAGAATAAAATACAGAAACATACCATTTGCGTCTTCTGACCAAATCAGGAGATGTTATTGCCCCTATTTTAGTCCCAAAATATCCCTTTTCCTGGCTCCTGTTGCCTCCAACAATGTGCATCTCTTTACCTTTGGTGCAATACGCAACTCCATCAACAGATGTGAGTATAACAATATTAAAATTACACATTCGGTGTTTACTAATAAAACAATATAAAATATGAACAAATAAACTACTTATCTCTAAC